CTGCGTGGCGTCCAGGACTATCTCGACCTGCGCAAGGAGCGCATCGTCTACCTCTTCCTGGAGCACTGGCGCCGCTGGGCCTTCCGCGGCCCGGGCCGCCGCGCCCAGGGGCGCCTACGCAGACTGCTGCCCCGTGTGGTGGCCACCGGTGCCGGCCCGGGGCTGGAGGCCGCGGACGCCGCAGATAACCCCCGGCCGCCGGCGAGCAACAGGGTGGCCCGCGGCCCTGATGAGCGGCTGCGGCAGCTGCTGAGGCAGCGGCAGGCGGTGGGCAAGCTGCTGGGCCACTGGCGGAGCCTGCTGAGGCGCGTGCCGGCAAGCCCGGGCCTGGCGCACGGCCTGTACTGGCCCCAGCACTTCCTGCCGCCCCTGGACGGCGGCGCACCGCCGAGCTACGACAGCCTCACGCTCGACCTCTTCATGCTCGGCTACTTTCAGCTGCTGGAGATGGGCCTGAGCCGCGAGGAGCGCAAGTTCCGCCACCTGCTGTGCTACGAGATGTTCGACCGGCTGGGCAGCCACCCGTGGGAGCGCATCCGCCTCTTCCACCGTGTGGTGCTGGAGGAAGTGGAGGCCGGCCGGCGCAGCTGGAGCGATGGCTTCGAGGACCTCAGGCACCGGTTCTTCGGAGACGGCCTGGAGGCTGAGCCGGCCCCCGAAGAACAGGCGAGGAAAAAGGAAGAGAAGGAGAAAGAACAGGAGCGGTCGGAAGAAGCCGCCCCAGTTCAGACTGGGGACCCACCCGAGAGGCAGCCCGAGGCCCCTGCCGCTGCCCCGCAGCCGCCGCCCCCGCCTGCCGCGCCTCCCCCGACCTCAGACTCTCCTGGATCCGAAGGCCCCACCGAAGACCCCTTGGAACTGCTGTCTGAGATGGGCGAGTTCAGCAACGAGGATATTTGCCGCTACATCGACCGCAGCTTCTCCTTCTGGAAGGAGAAGGAGGCAGAGCTATTTGACATCTGAGCAGCGGAATTTGGAATTCGCAGTTCACCCTCTAGCATCTTAACCTGTGCCTGGACCTCTGTCTGATGCCCTCTGGAGGCTGGCAGCAGCAGGAAGAACCCCGGATGGTGACCTTGAACCGCCCAGAGGGCCCAGGACCAGGCTGCCTCAGCCTCTGAGGTCCCTTCGTGGCAGGATGTGGGGGGTTGGCCGGATAGGCAGGTCATGCACGAAACAAACCAGGTGTCCCCCTCTGGGACCCTGGCCTTGCTGGGCTCTGTGGAACCAGGCAGCAAAGGAAGCCCCTCTGAGTGAGGGCTGCGGGTCCCCCTTGCGGCAGTGTGGTCTCCTCTCTGGTTTTCCACTGCAGTTCACAGCTACCTCCTTGGCTGAGGTCAAGGGAGCCACGTGTGCAGTGTTGTCTGTGAAGTGTGCAGTGTACAGACCCTCTGTTCTCCCGTAACATTCAGGAAATAAAAAAACTCTTTGCCGTAAACTGCCTACATTGGACAGCACACCTGCCCTCGATGTCATTGCAGCCCCTGATTTAGAGCAGGTGTTCACTCCGCTGGGAAGAGGGCAAGCATGAGCAAGGTCCTTTGCAGGGGAGCCACGGGCAGCCTGAGACTCCCTGAGCAAAGAGGATGGTGGGGGCCCGCATCTTCATCTGCCCAGAGGTCCTGGGCCTGGGGCCATCTGTCTGCCTGCCCCTGTGCAGAATCGGGCTCTGGACCTCTGGGTTCCAGCTACTTATTCTATTTCTGTCCCACTCAGCTCTGATCTCTCTGGTGCCTCCTGTTGGACACAAGGGTCTGGGTTACTAGGGGGCTGTGACCAGGTACCTCCATCCACTTGTCCCACAGAAGTGCATCAAAAGGGTCTCTTCCTGTGACCCTGACTCCTTCAGGTCCCCAGGTTGAGGGTGCCCCCTATCTCGAAGCCCCTGCGGGCCCTGAAGCTTTGTGGTTGTGTTTCAGGAGGAGGAGGAGGAGGCCCGGCTGGCCAGCATGCCCGCCTGGAGGCGGGACCTCCTGCGGAAGAAGCTGGAAGAGGAGAGGTGAGCTGGGGGTCAAGCAGAGGCTGGCCTGGCAGGGGGTCTAGAATGCATCCCTGAGGTGGAGGTACCAAGTGACACTGTCTCTTTTTCCTTCCAGGGAGCAGAAGCGGTGAGTGCAGGGCTGGCCCCAACCTGCCACCCTTAGCCCCACCCACGTCGCAGAGGGTCGTCCCTTCATCCAGGCCGACTTGAGCGCATCCTCCTGTCCCTTAGCCCTTGTAGCACAGCCTCTTTCCTCCCGGCAATGCCCGACCCCTGTCCCCAGAGTCTCTCTCTCGTGCTCTGATAACTTTGCTCCTGGTTACTCAGTCCCTGCCTCCTACTAACCTGGCTTTTTCTACCCATCAGTTAACCTAACCCTAGTATCAATCACCTTGATTGTCTGCCCCTCAGAACGTAGTTTCTGCCTCTAGTAATCTCACCCAGCCTGGTGCTGTCTGATGGAAATATAATGTGTCACATATGTAATTTAAAATTTTCTAGTAGCCACAGTAGAAGAATATAGGTGAGCTTAGTTTTCATAGTTTTATTTAACACAAAATATCAAAACGATTATTTCAACATATAATTATATGAAAATTATTAATGAGATGTTTTATACTCCTCTTGTAAGTCTTTGGCCAGGCATGGTGGCTTACACCTGTAATCTCAGCACTTTGAGAGGCTGAGGCTGGAGGACCACTTGAGCCCAGAAGTTTGAGACCAGCCTGGGCAATGCAGTGAGACCTGATTCTGCAAACAATTTTTTTTTTTTTTTTGAGACAGTTTTACTCATCACCCAGGCTAGAAAGCAGTGGGGATCTCAGCTCACTGAAACCTCCACCTTCCGGGTTCAAGTGATTCTCCTGCCTCAGCCTCCCAAGTAGCCGGGATTACAGGCACCCACCACCATGCCCAGCTAATTTTTGTATTTTTAGTAAAGGTGGGGTTTTGCCATGTTGGTCAGCCTGGTCTTGAACTCCTGACCTCAGGTGATCCACCCTCCTTGGCCTTCTGAAGTGCTGGGATTACAGGCATGAGCCTCTGCACCTGGCCTGCAAAAAAAAAAAAAAAAAAAAAAAAAAACTTTTTAATTAGCTGGGTGTAGTGGTCCCAGCTACTTGGGATGCTGAGGTGTGAGGATTACTTGAACCGTAATCTCACCACTGCACTCTACCCTGGCAACAGAGCGAGACCCTGTCTCAAATAATAATAATAATAAAACTTAGTCTTTGAAATATCGTGCACAATTTACACCTGCAATCCATCACAATTTAGACCAGCCACATTTCAAATGCTCAGCAGCCACACGTGTTTAGTGGCTATTCTGTCAAGGGGCACATCTACCCTCTATGTTCTCATAACCTGTCTCTAATTCTCAGTCGTTGTCTCTCAATTACGTGGTTTCTCTGCTCCCTAGCAGCCCCACCCCAGTCCTCAGTCATTCATATCGACAGCTCCCCAACAACTCAAGTCCTGGTCCGGTCATCTCGCTGCGGCACCCTGCCACACCTCCTCCTCACACGGTGCAGAGGGTCGTCCCTTCATCCAGGCCGACTTGAGCGCATCCTCCTGTCCCTTAGCCCTCGTAGCACAGCCTCTTTCCTCCCAGCAGCTTTGTTTCCAGTAACGTCCCAGCCCACAATAATCCAGCCTCCGTCTCCCATTCCCCCAGCTCCCCTGTGGTCCAATAACCCCATTCTGCCCCCCGATCTAGCCCTTCCGTCTTCAGCAACCCAGCCCCTACCCTCAGTAACCCACTCCTTACATGAGTGACCTGGCCTCTGCCTGGGGCCTGGCCCACCCTTTCTGCCAGCCCCAGTAGGTGGCCCCAGACTTCACCGGGTCTGCCCCCACCCCCACCCTCAGGAAAGAAGAGGCGCGACAGAAGCAGGAGGAGATGCAGCGGGAGAAGGAGCAGTCAGAGAAGCTGCGGACGCTGGGCTACGATGAGAGCAAGCTGGCACCCTGGCAGCGACAGGTCATCCTGAAGAAGGGGGACATCGCTAAGTACTAGAAGCCAGGCCTCTTGCCCGAAGCCTGGCAGCTCCGAGGGGTCCCCCTGCCCCAACCCCAGCCAGCCAGGCCCTGGTGGAAGGGCTGGGAGCTGCACAGCCCTCCCCTCCCGCGCTGGAAACCCTCCCTAACCCCCCCTCCCGGCCCCTGCATCCCCAGCCCTCGGCGACACTGGAGTGCACCCACTGCTCCAGTCGCCCAGAAAAAGTGCCCAAGCTGCTGATGCAAACAACAAAAAAATGCTGCTTATTTGCATGCGACTTACACATGTTTGCATGTTCGTTGAATATCAAAGAGTGCAGAGCTCTCCCCAGCCCCGTGGATGGTGACTCTGTTTTCCTGCGGGGCTCAGCCCCCTCCAGGATGCAGCCCCCTCCCCCGCACCCCGGAACCGGCGTCGCTGGCGCATCCTGGGTGGAGGCAGGCCCCGAGCTCGGGGAAGGGGTTTTCCCTCACTCCCTGACCCAGATCTACGCCGGCCCAGCCGGGGCGTCATTTCTAATCCCCGCCGAGGGTTTCCTCTCAGTCATTTGTTTACCAGAAACGACGAAAACTGCCTGTCTGCCGGGCCGCAATTGCGGCTCCCAGGACCCCACTCTGCCCCGCCTCCCTCAAGTCTGCGCCCATCCCCAGCCAGGCCCCCTCGCTTCCCAGACCGTCACTGTCCCAGTAGAGTGAATAGAGGATGAGGGGCCCCAAACCTGTGTCTCCAGCTGCTGCACCCCACCCCGAACCTGTCCCTGCCACCTCACAGCCCCATTAAAGCGCTCTCATCCGCCCGGGGCTCTCGTGCACTCACTGACTGTGGCTGCGACTTGCTCTCTTCTCGGGGTAATTGGGCCAGAGTGGACTCGGGAGGGGCAGGCTTGGGAGCTAAGGCCACAATGGACTCCACCATGGGTGCCAGACCCAGGGGTGACAAGATTCCCGACCCCTTCGACTCCCCCAGGAAAACAAGTCCAGGTCACTTAACATCCCCAGCCCCGCAGAAACGCCAAGAAGTCGCTTTTTTCACCCCCTAGATTTAATACCACAATCTCAGCCAAACTCCGGCTAAGAAACAGAAATCTCTTGACCCCCCCGGACATTGGTTCGTGCTTCTTCACCTTGGCTGGAGCGATAAGGGCGAGCAGGGGAGGGGCCGGCTGGTGCTGCTACGCAGGGCCGTGCCAGCGGCTGAATAAGTGACATAAAATGTCTACACTCATAAGTAACCGTACTTAGGGCTTCTGCAAGGGCCACCAGAGCGCCTGGGTGGCGAGCGGGCGCCGTGTCACGGGCCGCGCTGCAGGCGGCTGCGCAAGTCCTCTGCACAGCCGTCCAGCCCCATGCGCTCCAGGGCCGCGTAGACGGCGCTCAGGCCCGCGGGCTGCTGCTGGCGCCAGCGCTTGAGCATCTCGTACTGCTGGTCTCGGAAACGGCCGATCTCCACCTCCACGGCTTCGATCTCCGCCTCACGCAGCCCTAGCGTGCGCACGAACTCCTTCCAGCGCCGCGCGGGGACCGCGTCCATCACGTCGTAGAGCTGCGGACCGGGCTGCAGCATTACTGCTGGCGAGCCCGCTGACGACTCTGGCGAAAGCCTGGGCACAGGAGCGGGGCCTGGGGCGGGACCAGAGAGAGCCAATGGGGTACGCGTGCTGTGGTCGGTAGGCGGAGTCAGGGGCGTTCGTGCGGGTACCCTAGGCCAGAAGCCCGCTGGATCCCGCCGGTCTGGCCACAGAGGATGGACCCGGTCAGTTAGGGGGCGGAAAGTGGACCTGTTGTGAAACCACAACTTCCTGCCCCAGACAGAAGAATGAGGTCAAGGCCTCGGGCCACTGACATCCCTTACCAAGAGCTCTGTTGGGTATCTGGTCCCAGGACCATGTCACCTGCGGGCAGAGCACTTCCTGAGACTGGGGGTAGGCAGGCGTCCAGCCGTTGCCGACCAACTGGACAGTGCTGATCTTCTCACTGCTGTCAGAAGGCGCTAGAAGGGTATGGACGCTGTCCGAGGGTGACAGATGGGTGGCCTGGAAGCCAAGAGGGGCCCCAGGTCAGTCCTGCTTGCTAAGTAAGGCCCCTTAGCTGCAGCGCCTGTCCAGGAGGGGACAGTCCCTGGTTCGGTCAGCAGACACCCCTGCAAGGACACCTCCCCCAGCTGGCCCTGCTCTCACTGTGGCCCAGCAGAATTCTTGCCTCTGCCTTGAGTCCCCTGCCCCTGTCTCCTTGTCCCACAGCACCATGGGGCATTCCCTCCATCAGATTGTTAGCACCTGTGTGCATGTCTGAACCCCAGCTGACTGAGCACCCCTTCAGGGCAGGCACCGTGCTGGGCTCATCCACTGACGACTCAGCTCCCAACACCTCCGTCCACTAGGTCTATCCTGTGTTGGCCACGTGCCAAGCTCTAGGGATCACAATAAGGCTTGATCTTCCAGCTCCAGAAAACAGGCCCAAATCACACACAGTGAGGTTCTTACCAATGGTGGGGTCAGAGCCTCCATCCCAGCTTCATCTGCTGACACAGAGAGAGTGCAGTCAGTCAGCAACCAGGCAGGCCTCCTGGACCTAGGGGCTGGTGCAGCTCCTCTAGGGTTCCTCTGCACCCACACTCCCTGCCTCAGTTTCCCCTTCTGTATCAGCGTTGAGTAGACTCTGGGCTACCCCTGACCCTGCGTGTACTTACCAGTAACCCTGGGCTTGTGAGGCCAGCAGTGGCGGTAAGTGTAGGTCATGGTGGCCCCAAGCAGGAGGGGGAACACAAGGCCAGCCAGGAGCACCTGGACCCAGAACACTGAAAGCAGCTGGTGGGTGTTGGGTGGTAACCACCCCCACCCGCCTCCGCTGGGCCCATCCCAGTTCTCCCACTTGAATTCCCAGCACACCACCTACTCTGCCTCCAGCCACAGACAGTGGCACAGCGCTCTGGACAGCTCCCCAGGCTGCTCCTGCAAGGGAGGGGGTTGGCCTGAGGGATGAGGGAGTACACACCAGGAGGGGCTCCCCAAGACTGCCCAGCATCTGCTCCATCCTAGAGACCCTTCCCTCCCCAGGCCTCTCTCCTGTGAGCCTCACTCTGCCCAAGAATGCTCCTGTCATTGTGCCCCCAGTAACAATAACGGCAGATACTGTTCATTGAGCTTCTTCTAGACTACATGAAGAGTCACTAGAATGTCAACCCCAAAAAGACAGGGATTTTTGCCTATTTTGTTCTCTATTGTATCCCCAGCACCTAGCACAGTGTCTAGAACATAGCAGGTGTTCAATAAAGACTTGAATGGAGGCTGGGCGAGGTGGCTCACACCTGGAATCCCAGCACTTTGGGAGGCCGAGGTGGGTGAATCACAAGGTCAAGAGATCAAGACCATCCTGGTCAACATGGTGAAACCCCGTCTCTACTAAAAATACAAAAAATAGCCAGGCATGGTGGCATGCGCTTATAGTCCCAGCTACTTGGGAGACTGAGGCAGGAGAATCACTTGAACTTGGGTGGCGGAGGTTGCAGTGAGCCGAGATTGCACCATTGTACTCCAGTCTGGGCGACAGAGCGAGACTCCGTCTCAAAAAAAAAAAAAAAAAGTCCGGGCGCGGTGGCTCACACCTGTAATCCCAGCACTTTGGGAGGCCAAGGCGGGTGGATCACAAGGTCAAGAGATCGAGACCATCCTGGTCAACATGGTGAAACCCCGTCTCTACTAAAAATACAAATAATCAGCTGGGCATGGTGGCGCGTGCCTGTAATCCCAGCTACTCAGGAGGCTGAGGCAGGAGAATTGCCTGAACCCAGGAGGCAGAGGTTGTGGTGAGCCGAGACCGCGCCATTGCACTCCAGCCTGGGTAACAAGAAGGAAACTCCATCTCAAAAAAAAAAAAAAAAAAAAAAAAAAAAAAAAAAAAAGACTTGAATGGATACAGAAAGTCCCTTACCTCTAATCAAGATCAAAGGCCTGTGAAGAACCTGCTAACATCCCCATGTTCAGAAAGGGCCAGCACACATCAGAGAGGTTAATTCTCTGAACTTGCCCAAGATACCCTAGAGAACCAGTGGCACAATCCTGAATCTAAGCCCAAGTTTGTTTGTATTTATTTATTTTAATAGATGAGGTCTCACTCTGTTGCCCATGCTGAAGTGCAGTGGTACTATCATAGCTCACTGCAGCCTCAACCTCCTTCAGCCCAAGTTTTAAAGCTGTATCAATGTGACTCTCTGCATAAGTGACAAATCCATCCATAATGTCTGGCTGGAAGGATGGTTGGGTGGGGGGATGCTGGCTGAAAGTGAAGGCATACATCCTTATTTATCTGGCTAAGGTGGATATAGATTTCTCTTTTGCCATCTGAGTTTACCTGAAGTGGGCCCCACCCACCACAGAGCCAAGCTTTCTACTCCCTGTCCCCTCTTCCCATTCCTGAACTGGCAGCACCCGCCCCACCCCAGGCCCCCACCTTGCTCCCAGCAGCCCTTCCCTCCATCCCAAGACAGCTAGGAATTACGTGGGGCAGGACACGCAGGCATCACGGTGTTCATAGAAGCCAGGCAGGCAGGTCCCACAGTCAGTATCATAGCGGGAACCTGCAGTCCAGGAGAGGCGTGGGTCAGCCTGGGACAGGAGTGAGGCAGGCAGGGGAAGGGGGTCTGGGAGTAGCTGGCCCGGGGTGGGGGTACTCACAGGGTGGCCTCGTGTGGCGGTGCAGGGCCCCGCAGTCTAGGCAGGGTCGGCAGTAGAAGGGTGAGCTGCTGATACACTGGCTGACCTGGCACTCCACAAACCAGCCCGGCTTACAGCCACAGTGGGTGTCGGCCACTGCAGAACAGTTCTTCAGGGCCACCTGGGAGGCTGGTGGGGTGCAGAGAGATGGAGAATGGAGAGTTGGTCAGGGCCAGAGGCTCTGGTGGAGTGGCAAAGGCAGAGGCAGACTTCCCCCACCAAGATAATGGAGACAGGAATAGGTGAGAGACGGACAAGTACAGGGCTACCCTAAAAGAGAAGCTCAGAGGGCAAGGCCAGCCAGAGGCCAACGCACGTGGACAGACGCAAAGGTCACCAGGAAGAGAGAAGGGGCAAGGGCACCCTGAAGGAGGATCAAGGTGGAGGGTTCCGGCAAGGGTGGGCACAGGACCCTCACACCCCAAGGTTGGGCCCAAGCCAGCCACTTCCTTCTGAAAGGCCTGTCCTTAGGAACCCCCTGCCAAGCACTGAGAAGCCCCTCACCCTGCTCATCACAGACTTGGCAGCGGGCACATTCAGAATGATGGTGGTTCTCCCAGGCCAAGAAGCTGTCTCGAGGACACGGAAGGCAGGTAGAGTTCCCGCAGGGCTCCGTGCAGGGGGACTTCAGGTAGTACCCTGTGGAACCAGGCAGGGGTCAGACAGGCAGAGGGGCTGCCCAGCACACACCTGCTCCCCGCCATGTACTCCCTCCCTCCCTCCTTCTCTCCAGCTCCCTATTTCTCTGTCAGCACCCCCCCCCAACCTCCTCCACCAGCCTCCTCTTACCTCCCTGGCCTGCCCCATGCCCCTCCCACCCCTGTGGCCACTTACCCGCTGGGCAGCCTCTGCAACAAAACAGACCAATCTTCTTGTAGAAGTCACCGGCACAGTCACACCTGGGACTACGAGTGCCACCCTGGGCCTGGGGCACCAGCAGCAGCAAGAGGAGCGCCTGGCGGACAGGTGCTGCTGACTCTCAGCGCAGCTGCCCACGTGGGGCCTCTCCCTGCCATGTCTCCTCCATTTCAGAGGCTCCAGCGTTTGCCCACAGAGCACCCCACTTCCCAGGCCCCAGGCAGAAGGGGTGCCCAGGGTGGAGATGAGACTAACTTCCTTCCCCTGTGCACACGCCGGGCTTGGGAGGGGCAGAGGAGGGGGCTCTTGCCAGCCCCGCACAAGTTTTCCTCCACCAGGGCAGGGACCCGGCAGCGCCCCCACCCCCACCCATGCTTTCTGCTGGGGGAGGGACACTGGTGATTCTCTGCCTGGGGCCCTCAGACCCCCTGGGAGGGGTTTCCTCTCAGTGGATGGGCCCCGCCCTGGCGGAGCCTACAACTAGGTCGGAAGGGGCGGCCAGCCCAGCCCTCAGCGAGGCTTGGAGTGGAGTCAGTCGTGCCCGGGGAGGCCCCTTCCTTCCTTCGTCGAGGCTCTTGGGACAAGGCTGAAAGCTGCCCCTCGCCTCCTGCGTCTCAACTCACCGCAGCCACCGCCGCCGTCACGCAGCCCCGTGGCCGCTGCTCCATGGCCCTCCGCGCCGCGCTGGGCCCTCCGACGGGCGCCCAGGGGCTTCCCAGCTCCGTCCGCTCTTCCCGTCGTGGTTCCGCCTTTAGCCACACGCCCGCAGGGCCCGCCCCGCGCCATCTAGAAGCGCCCGCCTGGAGGAGGGGCGGGGCCGCGGAGCCCGACGGAGTTTGACCGGGAACCTCCCTCCCCACCCCCTCACCTGAGCTCATTTGGCGCCAGCCGACAGGCCCAGGGAGAACGCGACCAGGGCCACAGAACACAGATGCATCCCAGTCCCCACACCAAGTCTCACCCCAACCCTGAGAACCACTTCTAGGTAGAGTCAGGGCAAGTGACGTCTCTCTCGACCTCCGCACCCCCAGCAAGGGAGGGGGTTGGGTCAAAAGTACCTGAAGGCGCCCCGTACAGTGGCTCACGCCTGTAATTCTAGCACTTTAGGAGGCCAAGGCAGGCGGACCACTTGAGGTCAGGAGTTCAAGACCAGCCTGACCAATATGGTGAAACCCCATCTCTACTTAAAATACAAAAAGTAGCCGGGCATGGGGGTGCACACCTGCAGCTCCAGCTACCAGTGGGGCTGGGGCAGAATTGCTTGAACCCGGGAGGCGGAGGTCGCAGTGAGCTGAGATCACACCACTGTACTCCAACCTGGGTGACAGACTGAGACTCTGTATTTAAAGTACCTGAAGGGACCCCCACGGGGGACCCACCTTCCCCAGAGAGCTGGTCTGAGTGTGGAAACTGGGCAGATTCGGCACTGAATCCTAGGTGCCCCCTGGGGAGAGGCTCTGGTTGTGGTTGAGGATGGGGAAGTCCGGGGGTTTTGGTCCGGTGGCACCCCATCCCCTCATTATTTCCCAGATGCTTCCCACAAGCTCCATCTGTGGCCCGTAGAGGGCACAGGAACACGGGAGGCTGCCCTGAGCTCAAGGCACCGAGTTACTAGGCCCCAAAGCAAAGGACTCTTCCCAGTGGAGTCTAGACGAGTCTTTATAAAAGAACCAGAAGCTCAATAAATATGCAACTTTACAGAACCAGCCCAGGCCAGAGGTGGCCTGTGGGACTGGGAAGGTGGGGGCGGGGCAGGAGCAAGTCCCACTGGAGGCCAGTGAGAGTGGAAGTGGGATGGGCAGCCTGGGAGTCCAGCCCTGAAAAGTCGAGCTGGCAACTTCAGGGAGTAGGTGATGAGGGGCTGCCTGCGAAGGTGGGGGTGGTACTGCAGCCCGAGCCGCCTCCACTCTCCACTCCATCCAGTCTGGCAAAGCACACATCAGGCCAGGCGTAGGCAGGGGTCCTGCCCAGCATCCGGCTCACGCACACGGAGGCAGTGGCTGAAGTGGGTGCCAGCACAGCCCAGGAGGCAGGCTATCTGCTGTCTCTTGGTCAATGGCACTCTTGGGGGCCTCCCTCTCCTCAGACCTCCCTGCAGGGTGGGGACGGGAGAGAGTCCTTTGGCTGATGCCATTCAGAGTGGCTCTGGCCACCCTCTCCTCCCCAGAGCACTCCTCAGGCGCCTTCACAGCTCCCTACACCCAGACACTGGGCAGGGTTCAGGCTCTCTCCGCCATCACCCTCCCCAAATGTGACGCTCCCAGGCATGACTGGGCCCCATGCCAGCGCCAAGCTGCCTGCCCTACCCCAGGCCAGGCCACTCACGAGGCAGTGAGCGTGGAGTTAAGCAGCAGGGTGGTCCTGATTCGGTAGAGCTGGGCCAGGGTCAGCTTCCTGTGCTGAGCAGAGACCCCTGGTAGGGGTTCAGGCTGGACCGCCAGAGGGGCCCCCGAGGGCAGCTCTCCACATCTCTTCCTGTCGGAGCCTGCAGGTTCCCCGGCCAGGCAGCTGCTTCTGTCCTCGGGCTCTAACAGCTCAGGACCACTGCCAGGGCTGGGGGCCCCCCGGCAATCCCAGCTGGGCCCAGCTTCCCGAGGGGATCCCTGAGTCCTACTACCTGGGGCTGGAACAGCCAGGCAGAGCTCTGACAGGCTGCGGCTGGGGGCAGGGGGTGCCCCATGGGTGCCAGCCCCTGCCAGCAGCTGGAGGAGGCTGGCCTCAGACTTAGACTTGAGCAGGTGGGGCGGGCAGGTCAGCAGCTGTACAGGGGTGCGGCGGCGGAGACGGGGTGAGGGTGGAGGGGAAGGAGCTCGTGGGGTCTCTGGGGGCTGAGGCACTGGCTCTGCCATGGGGGCTGGGGCCACAAAGTCTTGTAAGGAGGTTGGGGAGAGGGTGCCATAGGCAGAGTCCATGGAGCAGGAGCGGCCGTCCACTGGGCCCAGGGGCAGCAGCTCACAGGTGGGCGTGGCGGATGAGGCAGTGGTGCTGAGAGAGGTCTCATCGGACTGGGAGCTGAAAGGACCACCATCAAACTCCGGCGAGGACAGCGTCTCCCCGGGCTCCACCACAACCATGGCCAGGGTCTCCGTGGAGCCCTCTGAGGCACTGTGGGGCCGGAAGTAGAATCAGCCCAGGCCATGAAGCCTAGGTGGCCTGAGGCAGCCCCAGGCTGGGCAGCGCACAGTGAGTGGTGTACAGCCTCTGCCCTCCTGGGGCCGGAGACTCAGGGATGGCAGCATGTGGCAGGTGTGGCAGATCTTCCAGCTCCAGTGCCCACAACGGACCTCAGCAGCAAGCCCAGCACTCTTCCCTGTCAAGGCTGGACCCGCTCTAAGGATCCTCAGCACAGCACCCCAGGCAGCTACCACGAACGGCTCAGAGCCGGAAGCATGTGGAAAGGTGTCTGCCCTCCCCACCTGGACTCTGGGGGAGACAGAGCCCCACTCCCACCGGGTTCATGACAGAGGCCGTTGGGAGGACGGGGACGTGGCTGGGCCTCCAGGAGTCCTAGGCTGGAGTACTTGTCCTGCTTTGACCTGCTGGGTGGTCACGAGCAGACATACCAGTGCTGAGAGTCCGGGCTGCCACTGCTTTTCCGCAAGATGGTGGGGGAGCTGGCAGCTGAAGTGCTACTCTCCTCGACTTCCTCCTCCTCCTCCTCTTCTTCCTCCTGCTCATCCTCCTCCTCTTCCAGGCTCTGCAGGGGCTGCTGGCTGCCAGGGGGCTCCTGTGCGCGAAGCTGCTGCAGCTGGTTCTACAAGGAGGGTTGGGGTGCACTGAGCAGAATGGGTGGTGACCAGCAGCTCCCCCGTCGGCCCTGCTGCCCACTCACCACTCTTCACTCACCTGGGCATTATAAATCGTGTCCACCCAGCCACGGCACAAGGCCTGGCCACTGGCCTGGAACGTGTAGGCCCCCACAGCGCTGTGAAACTCATTCAGGTAGATAAGGAGGAAGGAGCCTGGGTAGGGAAGGCCTAAGTCAGTACCAGCAGGGACGATGGGCCCCGCCCAGAACCAGGGGACCAGGGCTCCTTACCAGGGTCACGCAGCTCCCGGCACACGATCTTATCCACCAGCAGTGGTGGCCTGATGACCTTGGTCCTCTCGGCCTTCTTCACTGCCTTGGTCACCAAGAGCAGATCCGTGAAGAGGAAGCAGTACACGTCCATCTGCAGTGAGGGGGCCAGAGAGGCCAGCAGGGTCAGGGCCAGGGTCGTGGCACCGGCCTCCCCTGGAAGCACTGGGTTTTGGTCAAGCACTCCTCCCATCATGAACCTTCAAGTAAAATTAAAATGAAGCGGGAGATGATTCTCTTTCACTGAGATGTATGTTGAAGATTATCTCAATGCAAGTTTACATTAAAAAGAAGAGAAGTGGCCGGGCGCGGTGGCTCACGCCTGTAATCCCAGCACTTTGGGAGGCCGAGGCGGGTGGATCACGAGGTCAAGAGATCGAGACCACCCTGGGCAACATGATGAAACCCCGTCTCTACTAAAAATACAAAACATTAGCTGGACATGGTGGCGCATGCCTGTAATCCCAGCTACTCAGGAGGCTGAGGCAGGAGAATTGCCTGAACCCAGGAGGCGGAGGTTGCGGTGAGCCGAGATCGCGCCATTGCACTCCAGCCTGAGTAACAAGAGCGAAACTCCGTCTCAAAAAAAAAAAAAAAAAAAAAAAAGAAGAGAAGTGCCAGGCGCGGTGGCTCAAGCCTGTAATCCCAGCACTTTGGGAGGCCGAGGCAGGCAGACCAGGCGGTCAGGAGTTCGAGACCAGCCTGGCCAATATGGTGAAACCCCGTCTCTACTAAAAATACAAAAATTAGCTGGGCATGGTGGCACGTGCCTGTAATCCCAGCTACTCAGGAGGCCGAGGCAGGAGAATTGCCTGAACCCAGGAGGCGGAGGTTGCAGTGAGCCGAGATCGCGCCATTGCACTCCAGCCTGGGTAACAAGAGCGAAACTCCGTCTCAAAAAAAAAAAAAGAAGAGAAGTGACTTTGAGGCCAGGCATGGTGGCTCACACCTGTAATCTCAGCACTCTGGGAGGCCGAGGCAGGCAGATCATGAGGTCAGGAACTCAAGACCAGCCTGGCCAATATGGCGAAACCCTATCTCTACTAAAAATATAAAAAATTAGCCGGGTGTGGTGGCACATGCCTATAATCCCAGATACCTGGGAGGCTGAGGCAGGAGAATCACTTGAACCCAGGAGGCGAAGATGGCAGTGAGCCGAGATCGTGTCACTGCACTCCAGCCTGGGCCACAGAGCAAGACTCTGTCTCAAAAAAAAAGAAGTGTTGACTTTGAAGTCACTGTGTGCAAGCTCTCAGCCTCCCCGTGCCTGAAGGGGCCACAGCACAGGAGCAGGATTCTGGGGTTCCTGGCCCAGCTGTGGAATGTGGCCACCCTCCCACGAGGAACCCACATGGCACCGACAGGTGGGCACAACTGGCACTTCCAAGAGCTAGGACCCTGCTGCTGGACTTGTGACTGGCAGGCAGAGGACTGTCATTCACTATGACGAGATCACTGGTTCTTGAGTCGTCGTCCAAGTGACTGGGGAGCTGAGAGGGGCCCAGCAGGTCCCCAAGAAGGACACGGCACTGGAGGGGTGGCCCTGGAGTCACCTTGCTGTCCTTCCCCTCCTTCATCCTCAGGCTCCCCTCCAGCAGTAGCTGTCGCGTCTCCTCCGGGGAGGCGCCGGGGATGGGCGCTGTTAGGTCCAGGTGCAGAAATTCCTTCAGGAGCTGGGGATGGAGAGCTTGAGCGTAGGGGAGGCCAGGGCCTGACCCCCTTCTCAGCTAGGCATCCTCAGTGGGATGCCCAGCACAGCCCCGGCCTGCCAGCTTGGCCTTCCTCCCTCCCAGCCGGCAAGCCCCACAAACACAAGCGCCCACCTTGTCCACTTCGTCGCTGCTGCTCTCCACCACCTCGTAGGCGTCGATGCGGCTCACCACCGCCGCCAGCCGCTGCCGCTCCTGCCGCTGCCGCATGCATGTGTTCACGTGATGGATGAAGCGCTCCACGGAGCCGATCTAGGGGCAGGCGAGGGGGCTTCAGGCCCAGGGTCTGGACAGGACAAAGAGCCGCGCAGGGAGGACTGCCCCGCCTCTCCCC